TGATAACCCAGGGACTATCTCCTTTTTTCACTGGAGACGATCTCTCCCGCAAAGCCCTGGCACTGCCGGGCCACGTGGACCACTCTCTCTGAAATCAGTACCTCCTTGTAGCGCTTGCTGTTCATCAGGAAGATGACCACGAGGAGCTGCAGGTAGGCTTCCACTTCAGGCAGGAGGGGCGCCGAGGCAGCTTTTCCTGTCCGGGGACGGAACTGGAAATCCACCTCTGTGTCCATGGGCTAGGAGAGGACAGGCGTTACCATGGAAAAGCTCAGTCACGTCAGTCAACCAAACATGTATTAAGCGCTCACTATGTATTCAATTGAATGCCTAATATAGGCCAAGATTTTCCTAGGTGCTGGGGATAAAAAATTAAAGATGACAGTCTCTTTCTAAAGGGAGTCAAGGAGGCTGGCAATACAATACATTAGAAAAGAGGGTTACAGGAGTGTAACAATTTTACAGAACGCAATGGGGACAGAAAGGATGATGCAGGACCTCCCATAGAGCCAACAATCTTGGTGGCAGGAGTAAACCACCACACCTGAACTACTACAAATTCTATCAGTCAGGGTTTAATAAAGTGACATAACTTTAGAGATGAGATCAATAATAATGAGACAAAAAAATTTTTTTTGTGTGTGTGGAAACAAAAGAAATTTTGGGGAAATGTACTTATACATAGTACTTATTTTCAGATTTAGTCACCAAAACTGGAATAATGTGAACAGATCAAAAAGTGACCATGTTGGGTGAATTTAGGGACATTAGGTTAAAAAACTTCCAGGTGGCCTGGGTGCTTTTCCCCTCTCCCTGACAATAGAGTCTTCATCATTCCACTTCAAGGAATTTTCTGAGCTTGCACGTCTATGGAACAGACTGTAAGTATATAGGATTTTAGGTGGCTGAAGGTCAATGATGTTTTAGGGCAGCGGTTCTCAACCTGTGGGTCGCGACCCCTTTGGGGGTCGAACGACCCTTTCACAGGGGTTGCCTAAGACCATCGGAAAACACATATATAATTACATATTGTTTTTGTGATTCATCACTATGCTTTAATTATGTTCAATTTGTAACAATGAAATTGGGGGTCACCACAACATGAGGAACTGTATTAAAGGTCGCGGCATTAGGAAGGTTGAGAACCACTGTTTTAGGGAGATGAAGGTGGCTGAAGGGTCAGGACCTGGACTGTGTGCCATGAATAATAAGGGCGATTTCGCAATCAGAAAGGAAAAGGAGAGGCCTCTCCTGCATAGAGACCACTACCGCTATCGAACTACCTTCCTCAGCATTCGCTGTGTGCCAGGCACCACTCTAAGCGCTTACCCATACTCCTCCCCGGCCACTGCCCCCAAAATCGGTCCATCACATTCAACAAATAAAGAAAATGAGACACAAGGAGGTTAGGTTACTTGCTCAAGTCCCACAGGTACCAAATGGTACAGGTGGGATTCAAATTGAACTCTACCTCCAAACCCTGTGCTCCTGACCCCCTTTCACACGTCCCCATAGTGAACCTCAGAGGCAATGGCACCTTCTCCTAGGACAACGGAGACGTCCTCCGACTGGAGGAGAGGTCTGTGTTGGGGCATAGTGAACCTCAGAGGCGAAGAGGTGGTGGCACCTTCTCCTAGGACAACAGAGACGTCCTCCGACTGGAGGAGAGGTCTGTGTTGGGGGCAGCAGGAAATGAGTGTGGAGGAAGGTTCCTGATTGCAGCTCCTGTCCCTGACTTGGAAGGATGACACTCCCGGGCAGAAGGATGGTGCCCTTGGCCATGGGCAACGGGTACTAAAATGGCTGCTTCACTTCATTTCTCTGCGGCAGCAGGTGACAAGACAGAGTTTAGGATGCGCCTGACTCACTCACCTCTTCCAGGAAGGGTAGCAGGAAGTCTCGAGTGGCATTGTTTGAGGTGAAGAAGCCATGCACAGCCTTGTATAGAACATAGTGGTTGAGGCGGCGTGACGTGGAAGGCAGCATCCGCAGGGCCCTCAGTACGTAGCGAGGCTCCTTGCCGGACACTGCCTTCTCCAGCTGTTTCACATGCTCCTTGATGTCTGTGAAGGACCAGGGGAAAAATGTTACTTCCAGCTCTTTCTATCCCTCCCTACCCCCACCCCACTCCAGGCAAGCAGTTCTAGGGAGCCTCTTACAAAAGGGCAGAACGTGGCCAATCACCTCTTTTGCCCTAATAGGGTTCAGCAATACTTATGGATGCCATACGGGGATTTTAAAACATCACCAAGTGCCAAAGAAAAATAAAGCTGGGGTGGGGGAAGGGGTAGAGAGAGGAAGAAAAAGCAATGATGAGAAACAAAACCAACCCATGGATATTTATCAGATCTCTAAATAAGAGAAGACTTTCTAAATGTAAACAGTGGGAGAAATCACACACACACAAAACTGATGAATTAGATTTCAACAAAAGAAAAATATCTGCAACAAATGTGACCAAAGATGCTTATTCTTATTCTACAAAGACCTTGCATAAATGATTAAGGTAACTATGGGGCGAACAGGACATTTCTGCTGGTATAATGTAAACCAATACGTTTTTCTGGAGAATGCCTCTCCAAAACCTTAAAAACATTTACCCTTTCGACTCAGGCATATGGATTCTAAACTGAAGAAGAAATTAGAAAGGTAGATTAAAAACTTGGGCAAAAGATGATTGCTGCATAGCTATTTATAAAAATAAGAAACTGGACACACTTCAATGTCCAATAAGGAAATGCAAGCAACTAGTAGTTTCATCACCTCTGTATACTTAGCACAGGGTGCTGGGCCACATTAATCATATGCTATAAGGATAACAGCTAATATTTACGGAGGGTTCACTACGCGTTCGTCGTGTGCTAGGCACGGTTCTAAGCATCTTCATCTTCGCAACAACCCAATGAAGTAGGTACTCTTACTCTCAGGTAAAGAAACTTAAGTTTGTTTTTTGTTTTTTGCGATTGTCTGAAATTTCTATAACCTTGCTCCGGATGCAGCAGGGCAAGGCCTCAAACCGTTCCAAAATGTTCTAGCAAGCACTATAGGAATGCACAGGGTCACCCCAGACCCAAGCACGCTGGAGGCTTGCAGGAAACTTAAGTTTTGAACTTGTATTCTTAGCCACTGTATCAGGTAGTCAGTACATGTTTCTGGAATACACTGAATGCTATGCTTGTGGATATGTTAAATAAAAGCACACCAGGTCACCTGTATTAAGTTATGCCTGTTCCAAACTATACATATAACTCGATCTCAATTATAGGAGAGCAGCTTAAAAACTCACAGGAAAAAATGTTAACCATGGTTGATCCCCCTCCTCCCCCCTGCTACACTTCAGACTTCTCATATTTTCCAAAATTTCTACAATGAACACGAATCTATACCAATAATCTATACTAATAAAAGGGTAATATGCTAATTAGACTGGGAGACCTTCCGGACATAGCCATGGTGGTGGGGCCGAGGCAGAGGCGGTTAGGGGCGATCAGGACAGGAGGGGGGCAGTTGGGGGCAAGCAGGTCAGCGGGGGCGGGGGGCAGTTGGGAGCAAGCAGGCTGGCAGGCAGAGTGGTTAGGGGCGATCAGGCAGGCAGGCAGGGGAGTGGTTAGGAGCCAGTGGTCCAGATTGTGAGAGGGATATCCGACTGCCGGTTTGTGGGATCGGGCCTAAACCTGCAGTCGGACATCCCCCGAGAGGTCCCAGGTTGGAGAGGGTGCAAGCCGGGCTGAGGGACACCACCCCTCCCCGCACGAATTTCGTGCACCAGGCCACTAGTTACTTTATAGTAAAAAAGTGAAGTATTTGTAACAAACATGTACATACTTAGTAGGTAATGCCGAGCAGCACCTTTGCTACTGCCTATCATTATTTCAGGTAAAAAGTTCGTTATTAGATGCTAAGCCCATTAGAGTAGGAGCTGATGCAGTCAGCACCCTCACCCCCTCCGAACACCAGCCAGAAGCATAACTGTGCTCACTTCCGTGTGTCTGAGCTAGTTTCTCATGCACTTTGGAGAGAAAACCCAAGAAATCGTCCAGTCCCACTTGATCCGAAACTGGGGAAAGAGCAACAGGCTCGGAGGGAGAAGGTGAAATGTGAACGCGGAGGAACAAGAGGACGTGGAGGGGGCGGGGGCCGGCGTTCCGCGTCTTCCCGACCCCTTTACACACATAAATACAAACAGTGGTTCTAAGCGTCAGTCGTAGACCCCGGGCGCGACAGGGTCGGGATGTAAACGCGAGTTGGAGGGAGGACTGAGGAGTCCACACACCCAGGGAGACCCGTCCTAGGTGCAGTCCGGGCGGGTGGAGGTGTGTGGCGAGGGAGGAGTCCCGAGCCCGGAGTAACCGGGGCTGGGGCTGGGAGTGTCGGGGCGATGGGGACGGGAAATCTGGGGGGGCGGGGGGGCGATCCTTAGGAACCAGGGGTGGTGGAGGCTGCGCTGGGGTCCCAAGGAGAAGCTGATCCTGGCACGTCCCCGGCCCAGACTTTCGTACCCTCCAAGGTGATGGTGTCCAGCTCCCGCTGGGAGTGCTCGGTCGCCGTCGCCGTCTTCCCGTCAGCCTCCCCCGTTGACCCGCTACCCGCCGTCGCCTCCTCTTTCATCTCCACATCCTGGGGGGCCGGGGGTACCGGCGGTTCCTGTTCCCCTCCGCCCGGCGGCGGCTTCGCCTTGTCCGCGCCGCGGCGCCGCGCGGAGCCCTCCTGCTTCATGGCACACGGGGTCGCGGCCTAGTCCGGGGACTGAGGCCGGGGCCTCGCGTGAATTCCCGCAGCAGAGAGCAGGAACCAAGTCGGGCCTGCACACGAGCGCGGGATCGCTACGGGCCGCACGATGACGGAGCAGCAGCAAACCCCTTCCCAGCGCGGGGCCTGCTGGGAGATGCCAGGCCCACTGGGCCGAAGGCCGAGTCAACAAAGGGGAAAGAAATCAACAGCCGAGCGCAGGATGGGGGCGGATCTTCGAGGGAGCGGAGGGGAGGAGCCTGTTTGGGTTTGTGGCGCTTGCTTGGCAGTATTTAAATGTTGATTTTCTTCTGTCTTCCTCCGGAGTGCATTTCTGCGCTTGTCCACGAGAGGTCCCCACAGGCTCCAAACTGGGTTTCATCGGACTCGGCGCCTCAACTAGCGCGGAGTGCGTAGGCCCCGCCGGAGCGCAGGGCGTGATGACGTCACGAGGAGCCGGGACGGTTTCTGCCCAAACTCTCCCTGTTTGCCCCCAGCTGAGTCGCCTTCCAGACCCACGAGGCTCACGTCCAACGGCTGTCCAGTGCGTCCCGCGCGAGGGAAGAAAAGCTGCGAACGAGGGAGGTGGAGCTAGGCTGTTGGGCTTAAAATAAAACCGAATCATGGGATCCAGCCTTCCTTATCAGGTTTTTAGCTAACGCTGAAAATGAGGCATAAAACCCCTGCAGCCTGGGAGGGTGGATGGGCGTAGAGCGCGTTTGCGTACAGTCACTCCAGTGTAATGAAGTGTAGGGGTCCACTCTGTATGGCCCGGGGCTAGTGCATTGGGGGGCGCCGTCGTAACGCATAGCTGCAGAAAGCAGTCTGCTGGAGGCTGTGCTCCGGCTGCCGTGTGTTGTGAAGGAAAGAGGCTGGAAGCCTCCCCTGGCAGAGGCTTCAGGGAGTCCTTTGGGGCGCCTGTAGGCATCCAGACAGACACTGTAGTGAAATAGGGAGCAGAATAATGGTGTACCGGAGAGCCTGAGACTCCCCCAGGGGAAGGAAATTGGATCAGAAGTTCTGTCCATTTATTTTACAAAGGAATCGTTCAGTGATTCTGCAGGAGGTGGATGCATGTTCTAATTTCCTAAGACAAAACAACAACTTGCTACCCTCTTGGAACTTTTATCTCCTCCATAAACGGAGGTCCTGAGTTTTAGACCAGGTCAGACCCCCCAAGACAGTCTAGCTGTCTTGTAAGGTCCTAGAAGACAGAGAATATGTTTTCACTATCTTCTTTAAGTTTATGTATATAGAAAAAAATTATTTAAAATTTTTTAAAAGTATTGATTGATTTTAGAGAGAGAGAGGAAGGGAGAAAGAGAAACATCAATTTGTTGTTCCACTTATTTATGCATTTACTAATGACCTGGTGCACAGATTTGTGCACATTGAAAGGAAATTAATTAGAAGGTGGCTGGCCGGGCAGGACTGGGTGAGAGCGGCCAGACACACCCTGGAGCCAACTGCCCGGATCCCTCCCCAGTGTCTGCGGAGTGAGCAAGGTCCCTCCAGCAGGTAGGGTCCCTCCAGCAGGTAGGGTCCCTTGTCCTGGCCTGCGGGGATTGGGCCAAAACCAGCTCTCCGACATCCCCCAAGAGATCCCAGAGTGCGAGAGGGCACTCTACAAAGTTGCTGTCGTACAGGGTGTGGAATGCAAACCCAAGAGTGCAGCAAACCAGATCGGGGCCGACAGTGCCCCAGCAACAACATAGCCCACAGTTGAAGGTGGAATCTCATAGCCTGCGAGGAATCGGGTTCCCTCCTCTCTGGTTTCGGGGTGCGTCACCCAAGAACCTCCGCTGCCAAGTCACTGCAGCTCGGCAGCTCCTGCGTTGAGCATCTGCCCCCTGGTGGTCAGTGTGTGTCATAGTGACCAGTCGGACGGGGGGAGGGACACTTAGCATGTTAGCCTTTTATATATATAGAAGATTGGTTGATTCTTGTATGTGCCCTGACCAAGGATCAAACCTGCAACCTTGGTGTATCCAAACAATGCTCTAACCAACTGAGCTACCTGACCAGGGCTTTACCACACCCTTTTCATCCTTTTGTACCAAGTAGCTCATGCACTAAACAGCCACTTGCTAAATGGAAAAATGTGTGCTCCAGTTTTAGGGAACATGCCTTGACCAATTCTTCCCTAACTATCCCCCTTCCCTGTAGGGCTCGGGAATGGATAACAGGACTTTTGAGTCATCACTGGAATAAACTCATTAAAGCCTCTTCATAACGCCATATCTGTAACTGAAGGTGGGCGAGAATGGCAAAGGAAGAAAACAGGTGAGCTTTGTTGTTCATCTTTACGAAGTTACCCTTCTGGATAGTTAGGGTGTGAGCTCACCTCTTTATTATGTTTACTTCATAAGATTAGAACAATCAAGTCAGCAGATAACTACTCAGTATGTTCTTGAGCAATAGAGTGAGGCCTTAGAAGATGCCCCAGAATGGGGGAGGATGGCTTAACACAAAGTCTTTGGCAGTTGGTCATGAATTCTTGGTGAGTGAGGGAACTAATCAAGGCAAGGGGTGCCTAGGAAGGGGAAGAGTTTGACTCCTGGGGCCAAAAACCTTGGAGAAATTATTCCACCCATAAAACCATTTTAAAAGGGATTGGTGAAAGATATTAAAACCAAGTTTCAGGCAGAGGAGGAAGGTATAAATCTAGCAGTTTTATGAGATTGTAATAGCCATCATGTTAGCAAGTCCATATGCAAGTCCACCCATATCACCTCCTACCACAACCACCCTGAACTGAGAGCAGAAGAGGAAAAGGTGAAATCAGAAAATAATAGCACAATTTCTTTTAAAAAAGTTTTTGGTCAATATATATTGATTTCAGAGAGGAAGGGAGAGGGAGAGAAAGAGAGAAACATCAATGATGAGAGGGAATCATTGATCAGCTGCCTCCTGTATGCTCCCCACTGGAGATCAAGCCCACAACCTGGGCATGTGCCTTGACCAGGAATCAAACCTCAACCTTCTGGTTCAGAGGTCAATGCTCAACCACTGAGCCACACTGGCCAGGCAGGTATCTTTTTTTTAAACACCTATTTGCATTTTAAAGTTATTTATTTATTTTTAGAGAGAGGGAGAGAGAGAAACATCCATTTGTTGTTCGTTCATTCATTCATTCATTCATTCATTGATTCTTGTATGTGCCCTGACTGGGGATTGAACCCACAACCTTGGCATATTGGGACAGTGCTCTAACCAACTGAGCTACCTGGCCAGGATCTATCTGCATTTTTATCCAATAAACTTGGAAGTTGTCTTACTCCTGTTTTGGGTTTGTACAATCTATCTCTAGGTTTTTGCCTTTCCCAGTCCCTTAACCCAAGTCCAGAGGGCTCCAAAGGCTCCTCTATGAAGACATGCTGCTTTGATGATATTCTCACTGTAGAATCTAGATTCCACATTCTGTAGCCTCATAGTTCTTCTCTGAGTACTTCCCAGCTGGCCTGAGGACAGTGTAATAGTATTCATGTACATATGATCTATATGTAGTGTGATAATGTCTATTTTCTTTTCTGACATGAGTTAAGAATTTCCTTATGATAGATTCTTTAAAGAAAACACCAAAGACATTTCATCCAAAGTGAAATATTTTCCATTAATTCCAGTGAAGCTTGATTTTTAAAAGCACAAGATTGAGGGATTGGGATAGGAAATTAATTAATTTTGGTTTTGCTGAAATGGTTTATAATTTTTAAAATTGTGTTTCTACTCTCAGAGGACTTAAGCATCAGCGGATGGGCTCAGCGGGTAGCAGCGCTACAGGGGCAGGAGGAGATAGGGTTGGTCAAGTGGAAATTGGTTATCGTGGGGGATCAGCTAGGGTTTCCATCATCCTCAGCCTGGTGGCTATGAAATGCCCTTGGATGTTAAGGACATAGCACAGTGAGGCGGGGGAGGCATTAGGGAAGCAGGAAGCAGATGGAAAAGGCAAGTTAGGAGGCCTTGGTCAGCAGCTGCAGGAAGGAGAGGCCAGCGTAAAGGGCACAGAGGTGGGGGAGGGTGTCTGGGTCCCACGTGTACTGGGGGCCCGATCTCTGCACCTCCAGGCCGCTCAGGCCCACGAGGGCCTCTGTGAGGATCAGTTCTTCTTCCCCAAGGGAGGAGAGCAGGTTAGATTGCAGGGGAAAAACACCCTCTTTGTCCTGCAGGAAATTCTGTTCCATTGTGCTCTCCACCTGGAAGGAACCAAAACAGCATGAAAAGAAAGAACTGGAAACCTCCTTTCCTTTCTCCTAACTCATAAAAACCACAAAGATGCCCACCTTTCTCTTATTATAACTCTTTTCATTACATTACATTACAACTCCACCTGGGCCTTTTTTTTAAACATTGATTTTAGAGAGAGGCAGGGAGAGAGAGAAACATCGATTGAAGTGCCCTGACCTCAATGTGCCCTGACCGGGGATCAAACCCGCCACCTTTTGGTGTATGGGACAACGCTCCAACCAACTGAGCCACACTGGCCAGGGCCCATCTGGAGCTTTTAACAACCCTGTACAGAGGGCAGCTCATTTATTTTTAGCCCCATTTTACTCAGAGACATTAAAAGATGTGTTCACATCACTTGGCTAGGACTAAACAAAAACAGAGTGTTCTGTCTCTCCTCCCACGATCAGGCTGGAAAACCCAGATAATCGCCCAGACATCTACTCTTCCATCTCTAGTTGTGAAATAGCAAAAAGGAAGAAACGGAGAGAAATGAGAAGGGGCATGAGGTGCTGGGAGAAGACTCCAGGATGGTTCTGTCATGAGGCTGCATTTGTCTCTTTTCCCCGGTTCTGGCTGACTCCCTCCCGACTCTCCCCGGTGTCTGCTGCTGCTTCTCACAAGTTTTAGTTGCACAGGCAGGATCTTCTTCTCCATGGATTTCACCAGCAGCTTCTGTTGGGCTTCACTTAACTCTGAAGAAAAGGGCAGAGAGAGATATGTGTGTTGGTGGTGCATGGGGAGTACAGACTCCACGTGGGTACCCTTCCAGACTTTCAGCATCCATTCATTCATCCAGCCACCCACAGTTGAACGCCTGCTCTGGGCCAGGCACCTTTGCTGAGTATGTTCGGTAAAAATGTACTCCCTTCACTCAAGGAACTTGCATTCTAGTGGAGAAAACCAAGGGACGCGCAAAAAGAGCACGCAGTGTGAGGGGAGCCATAGCTGAGGGGTCTGCTTTGGTCTTGGCATTTGATGGCAGACTTCTTAAGAGAACAAACATCTCAGCTTATACCTGAAGGACCAGAGAATTCTTTTAAGTGGGGGAATGTTTCCTGCAGAGCGAAGACGAGAATTCAGGGGGCAAGATCAGAGGATGTTACCCTCTGAAATGAAAGCTAACGAATATCGATAACATGTGATGAGATTAGCTATATGTTATGCCAACCCCTGTTAGCAAGACTAGGCCATCTTCTCAGACTATCCAAGGTGACCAAGTGAATCCTTAGGCATGAGACCAATTTTTAAAAATGTAGATATAAGCTACTTCATTGTGCTATAATTTGCCTGGCATTCATTCATTTACTTATTCATTCAAACATTTGGGAATTCACTCGGTGATTCATTCCTATCACCAAAAGGGTGTATAAATGAAGGCCTTATTCCTTCCTTACCTGTTAGGGCTCCAAGGAAGTAGAGGATGGCGCCCATCACCTCCTTGGATACCAGGACATCTTTTGGGAGCGCCTCCAGCGTCACTTCATGTCCTTTGTCTAGAGCCCCTTCAAGCTGTGAGGAAAGGTGGGTGAGCAAGATAACACGAGGAAGGGGCCCAGCACGGTGTCTGGCACATAATCCCTGGACATGTGTCAACTTTGTCCGATTTCCAGATTTCTTTTTCAAGGTATCAAGTCCTGAAAATATTGGACTGACTTGGGTTCCTTGGTTCCTGAGCCTTGCATCCTGGAAAGGAAAGTTCCGGCCCCTTCCTAGAGAGGGCCTGCTGGCCTGCTGCCTCCCCTGTCCATCAGGAAGGAGCATGCGCCTTGGAGGAAACAGCACTGTTTGTCCTTCTCCAGAGGCACCAGGGCAGCCGGGGGCACCTGGCCAGCTTGGGGAAGGCATCCGCTGTCGCATCCCCTGGCCCCTGATCACCTTCTGCCAGTGTCAGGCCCCCCACCCCCAGCTGCACCTGCACCAAAAACCTCCCTTCTCCCAACCCCCCTCCCCCCACACACTTCCACTGGGACCTCACCGTGAGCTCCAGGTCTTGTAGCTCCTTTTTCTTTCCTAGAAGTTTGCTGAGGGCCGCGAGCAAGGAGCTTTGTCCCACGTGGCTCAGCTTCTCCACTTCTTGGGTCTCTCGTTGAATCTCTTCTTTTAGTGTCTTGAAGTCTTCATGCATCTCCCCTGTGGGGACAGTAACCGTGGCAAACAGGCGGCTCTCCACCTGGCACCCTCCCCTCTCAGCCAGCGTTCTCCCTGCAGCTCCTTCACACCCCTCGCAGGTCCCCGTGCTCTGCTCCCAGCCTTAGCCTGGCCTCTTGTTTTTCTTGACCAAGGAATGCAATTGTGAAGTTATCCATTAGCCCTGACTTGAGATGCGTACGTGTGTATGTGGGGGGGAGGCCGTTAGGGGCGAGGAGGGGCCCAGGACCCACAGTACCATCTAAGCCGTAGTCATTCCCCCTGAGCTCCCAGGCCCCACCAGGGAGCAGCAGACAAGTGACTTCCCTTTCTCTAAGACTGGCTAAAAGTTGAGAAGGAAGGTCTATTTCCCCTTCTCCTGAGTTAGTTGGCAAAGAAGAATGATTGGTGACTGAGTGAAGGCTGAGATGGGACTGCTTCTGAGATCTGTGGGTGGGTCTATAGACAGGGATGTGAGTGGATCAGGGTTGGCTTGAACCTTGGCCTGACCCTGTAGGGACCTGGCCTCCTAGGAGTATGTCCAGCCTGCTTTGGAGAGATTGGCTTCCTGGCAGTGGCGCCAATCCCCACGACCTGGGACCCAGCACTTGTCTCCCCCTCCCTCCACCCCAGTGCTTCTCCCACACCAAAGTCTTGGGAGAAACTCAGAAAATTCCTTACCAACATCGGATGCCTGGATGACTGAAGGAGAAACAAAAAAACAATGATAAGAATGTAATCCTCCCAAACATAGCCATACCCAGGCGATGAAACATTGATGGGGGGTTAGGGTACCTAGCCAGGCGATGAGGTTTAATAGGGGGTTAGGATAACCAGCCAATTTAAGGAGACTCTTGCCCATTCATGGGAGGCAGGACCGGGTCAGGAGAAAAGCTAATGCAATGGGAAAATGGCACCTGGATTGAGCTGTCAACACTGACTCAGCTGCTTCCGCCCCAGGTGCTGGGCGGTGGGTGGAGTTGCAGAGGTGTGTGTGTGACAGGTTAGAGCTACCAAGGCCCTCGAGGACAGCGGTCCGGTCCAAGGCATCAGACCACCTGGGCATCTCACGCACAGACTTTCCCTTTCCACTGCTTGTCCCTAAGCTATTGGAATTTCTGCCACGTGTCAGGGACAGTTGCTTGCTGAGATCTGCCCTGCCATGCTCCCTGTCGGTCCCACGGAGAAGGAAATAAAACAACAACTGGAGTTTTAAAATTCTGAGTCAAAAAAATTACAGTGAAATGGCAGGAAACACTTACGGATGAGCTTCTCCTCTTCTGGCTTTCCTGAAGACAGAAACAATGCACATGTGTCAGCATAACACCTACTCATGCCTTTTGATCTAGAGCAGTTGTCAAGGCAGCTTCATCAGTGATCATTATAAAAACACACAGAGCCATGCCAGCTGGCCAGCGTGGCTCAATGGCTGAGTGTCGACCTATGAACCAGGAGGTCACAGTTCAGTTCCCGGTCAGGGCATAGCCTGGGTTGTGGGCTAGATCCCCAGTTGGGGGTGTGCAGGAGGCAGCCCATCAATGGTTCTCATCATTGATGTTTCTATATCCCTCTCTCTCCCCCTCTCCCTTCCTCTCTGAAGTCAATAAAAATATATTTTAAAAAATCACACACACACACACACACACACCCCCCACACGGAGACTCTGTTAGCTCAGTCTGCCCACACTCTGAGAACACACACTGTCTCCGTCTTATTTCTGCTTCCAACTGTGCCTTCCAGTCTCTGTTTTTCTGTCCCTCTTGGGTGGTACTCATAGGCCTTTGTCTGTCTTTCCTAGAGTTCAGAATAGATATTTTTAGGGGAAACAAACCCAGGGGCTCCTTGGCAGGGGGGTTTTGGTGTGTGTGTGCTATTCAAGGGCACAGTCTTCAGCAGGTATTGTCAGGGGCCGGGCAGAAGGGTGGGGAGCCAGAAAGCAATCTCACTTACCTCCAGGAGGGAAGGTCTGCATGTTATCATTGCAGATATGTGGGATCTCTGTAAGGAGCAAGAGAGGAGAGCGGGGACCTTAGGCAGCTGCCCCGCCCCCCTTCTTTCTCTAGTCTCAGGTCTATGGGCTTTACGAGGGCTGGGAGCCTGCCCTCAAATGCCTCGCTGCATCTTCGGCTCCTCCCCCTCTTGCTAGAAGGAATCCTTTCCCCTCTGTAAGTCCTTCCCTGTGGTAACAGTATTCTCTCTCTTGCATTCGAGTACTGGTGCCTGGGTCTGTTTCCTCCACTGGCCACAGGCTCCTTGAGGCTGATTGCTCTCTGTGCCCTCTCCCCCGAAGCTGATGCAGGGCCTGGCACACAGGAGACACTCAGAACTAGGAGTCTCTTCACTGTCTCTCTCCAGGGCAGCCCCTGCTGTTCTGTTCCTTGAAGTTGGACCACCACACAACCCTCTCGTTCACTAATTCCCTGACATTGCCACAAGAGGGGGCCAGGACGTCTTAGTATCGGTGCAGGTCATTCTTGTCTTGAGGGGAGAACACGCTGGTGTCTACTCACCCCACTCATTCTCCCCTTTGACCATCAGCTGTCTCACTCGAAAGGCCAGGATGCAGCCCTTGGGGATGGTTACCGCCTCCTTGTGGTTGATGGATCCCTAGGATTGGACAGTGAGGATTTGTGAATCTGCAGAGATCCTGAGTATGAGACATTGGAAGTGGGGGGTGAGGGTGCAAGTGAAGGGCCAGTTTGAGGGCCTCTGGGGAGACAAGAAGTTGGGAACCCTTCACTGGTGTCCCTGATTGCCTTTCTACCTGGTCCAGACTCCATGGAGTGGGCTTCACAGCTCCTCTGCTCATTTCCACAGGTCACCCCACTAATGATCTGCGTCTCCCTTCCTGGCTCAGACACAGGAAGGAACTGGGCAGACCTGCTCCGTCACCTGCCTGTGCATCCCTGTCCCACCTTAGGACTTCCATCCAGGCCTTGGTTCCTTCTTCCTCTTTGCAATCTGTCCCTTGCTCACCTCCTTCAAGAAACCTTCCATGACTAACTCCTACTCCCAGTTCCAACTCATCCCTTGAATATTTATACAAAATAGACAGAGGTATCCAGAACATTACTTCTTTACATGGAATTTTCCAACCTATGTGTCTCCTCCATGAGACTGAGAACAAGGATGTCTCTGTGTAGATGGGGAGCACCATGAGGATATACCATGACTGTGAGTTTCCCCTTCTCTGACAGATCCCTGTGGCATGTGGCACAGGGATCCGCCACACTGGGCGCTATTGACCAGAGGCAGGATTCGCATCTTGCCAGCAGGGGACTGGATCTTGAAGAGGAGGGAGAAAGAATGTGTCCTTGATAGTGTCCTGGGTGGACGCTGATGGGGCAAAGTCAATGCAGCCTCTGTGGAGAAGCTGAATATGAAAGAGAGAGAGAGAGAGAGAGAGCGCGCGCGAACCAAACCTGTAGCCCCAGTGGGGCGAAGAAAGGGAGGGAGAAGACGCCCTCTGCCTTGCCGGCCCTCTCTAGAGTGACCTCCTGCACAGTCTCCACCACCTCCATCACCACATACAGGTTTTCCCCTCGATCTCGCATCTCTTTCAGGAACGGGTGCTCTGCTTCCAGCTTCCTGTGGCAGGAGAGACATAAGGGAATCGTCCGGAGCTTCTCCCTGCCCGGGCCCTGGCCTTCCCTTTTCTTCTGTCGTTCCCAGGTGCTAGGCATAGCGGTGTCATGTCAGGGAGAGAGTGAGGACTTGGAGGAAAGCCTGAGGTTGAAACCCAGATCCCGGCTTATAGCAGGGCGGCTCTTCTGAGTCTCAGTGGCCTCATCCATAAAGTGAGGATAATGACACCTGCCTACAGGTGCTGAGAGAGAGACTGGCAGTCATCTGACCCAGGACAGGGCCTCATGGTTGCTTCTTTCTCCTTTATTCCTTGGCCCTGGGGTGGACTCCCTTCCCTTTCCTCCCTGTTCCTAGCTCTGTCCATCTCCTCTAGGGTCCTTTCTCTCCATCTGTTATCCCGTCTCCTGCTGTTAACACCAGTTTCCCTCTCTACTTGCTTACACATATAAACATGTCCTTTGATCTTGCTACTCCCTCCCATTGCCATTGGTTCTTTCCTTCACTTCATTGGCAATATGCCTATACCCACTGTCTTTACTTCCTCCCCGCCTTCGCCAAAATTCTTTATGCTTTGGCTTCTGTTTCTACTCCTCAACTGAAGTCACAACGACTTCCCACTTACCAAACTCAAAGACCTTTCCTAACTTGGAGCAACATTGGGCCCTGCTGTCCACCCCCCCCAC